ACTTCCAAGCTTTTTAGTAACGAGTGACGTACTCAGCCGTTTAAATGTCCACGATTGCTCTAATTGTTGTTCGGTAAAAAAGTAACAACAAGTATCCGAGCCTTAGTTAACATTTGTAACTATCTTTAAAATATTTATGTATCTCTGATTTGTTGAATTAGATTTTCCTGGTCTTATCAATGTTAACCCTACTTCTAAGTAAATTTCTTGGTGATATAAGTTTTTGACTTTTTTCGAACAGCGCTGGCAGGTCTATCTGCATCATTTTATATTTTAATATGGATATCTCTACGTTATCGTACCACCTTCTACATCCAGGAATAAAGCATGAGTTGATTTGTTAGATAACAAAAAAAAAAAAAAAAGACAGAATATCCGTTACCAGACTAATTAAGTTGTGAGTTGTAGATTTGCGTCTTCTAATCCATATGGAGCTTTGGGAACCAAAAAAATTGGTAAGGAATGTGGTCAATCCTGGTGCTATATTGTTATTTTTCTTTATTGCCGAATTTAGTTTACTAATGTAAACCGAGATAATATGAAAGGATTTTCTTCTGGACTATCTGGTGTGATTTTTTTCTGTGCCCGATTTTGCGCCACAACGTCGAGAGTGATTTCATATAGAAAATCCACTGTTCAAACCCCCAAAGTGGTAGAAAGAACCTTTCCTTTTCGTATTTTTTTTGCACTTTGATTTTATTCACCACCATTTTTATGAGATTTTGATAATTTAAATTATTATAAAATTATTTCCATGACAGTTCATTTGCCTTCTTTATCGACTGTTTAGTTACTGCTGTAGAGTTTTTGTTATTTAAATTGCTTTGTAAGTAAGTTTCTCTNGGTGGGAATTAATTTATTTACAAATGGGATTTTGAGGTCTTTGTGGAGAGTCAAATTGGAAACATAGAAAGGAGCGTTCATAATGATTCTGAGGACTTTAGATTGGAAGGATTGTATTCGTTGGACGTGGGTAGGCTTAGCGGTGCCCCACAGTTCTAGTCCGTATGTCCAGATCGGTTTGAGTAATGCTTTGTAAATGCTTTGTAATATTTGTAAGCCTTTTACCAGACTCAATATCTTTGGGCACTTCATTGTTCCACTCCACGCATTTTTTGGCACTATAATGGTCATAGTTTTTACTGTAGATTGGCAGTGATTCTGACGCAGCATAATTTATGTTGGCTTCCCAATCATCGTACCTTTTAACCTCATTTCCTTTGAAGCATTTTTTCACTGTGTTTTGGAAAATCTCTCAATTAGCTTTGGCACATTTCTACTTTTTGTGTGTACGTTTTCTTTTTTGGTCTAGAACGATGTTGTTCGATTCAATTAGTATTGGTAGGTGATTTGAACCTATTGGAACTTCGATAATTTTCCAATGAAAATAAGAGGCTAATATAGTGATGCATAATGTTAGATCGATTGCGGTCGAGGTATCTGATAGATTCTATTTACTAAAGTCGGCGAGCCGTCATTTAAAAGCATATCACATATAATGAGAGGTCGCGGCAGTTGACAAAAAAAAAATTTACCTATTCGGTTTTATTAATTTTATTTTTTCGATCATTGTAAATTAATATTAAATTAATGTTCATATTTTATTACAATTAATTAAGGTTTTTAGTTGAGATGAAAAAAATTTAATGGTACGAGCGGGATTCGAACCCACGATTTCCGGCTAGATACGCCGCTGCTCTACCACTTGAGCTATCGTGACCTCGATCCACTCGGACATCAACTTCCTATCTCAACCCCACCTTATGAGTTTTCCCTCCTTTTTGCCATTTTTCAAATGTCGTGTAATCGGATTGGATTCTCGACGACAAATGAGCTCAAGTGGTAGAGCAGCGGCGTATCTAGCCGAAGATCGTTGGTTTTTTCATCTCAACTAAAAACCTTAATTAATTGTAATGTCTTAATTGGTCAAGCGGAAGACGAAATTAGTGGATTTGAAGTTCATGTTTTAATTGATCTTTATCGAAAACTCATTAATTCGGTTTCCTGGCAGTATAGGTAATGGAGAAACTGCATTGTTCCTCGGAGATCCTAACTTCAGCCACCATATTGAAGTGTGTAACTGGTCATTAAGAATGACTCAAATAGGCAGTGAGATTGAATCACATTTTCGAAAATAATGGCTTTATGTACAACTTGGAAAATGTCCAGGGTGTTCCAGAAGTAGCCGTTCCCTGTAATGAAGGACCCTTCTATCAACAATGATTAGAAAATTGATCAACAGTCTAGTCCCGGCCGTCTACTTGCCTCAACTATTTCGCTTATGCGTGCAAAACTAAAAATAGAATAAATAAATAAAATTCTTCATTTTTATTGTCATTTTTAGTTTTTATTGTTATTAGTTATTGTAATTTTATTTGTTTATTGTACGTCTATTTCTGTAATTATTAATTAGTCTCGAAGTTTCCCGCTGACCCCCTAGTTAGTGTCGGCCGACCACAGGTTGTGAAGCCCCGCCTTCGAACATTGCTAGCTAAATTATTGGATTTTGACAGGATATCAATATGTGTTTTTGACGGAGAGAGACTACGAACTGCAGCTTCTCAGCAAAACGGTGGATGAGGTCGGGACACATAAATCTGGAGGGTAACGAAAAGGCGGACAGGCGGCTAAGGCCGGGACGTCTCAACCTCCGGACTTTACCTCTGCGATCCGTTCCTCTGACGCTAAGAATGCAATAAAAACATGTTTAAAAGGAGGTGGCAGCGTCGATGGGCCGGGGGAACAAAGAAGCTCTCACATATCTTACGTATCACTGTTGATGGGTGGCACTCGAAGGATCTAACTCGTAGAAGAAAGATCATCCTCACCCGGTTAAGGATAACCCGTGCGACGTTAACACACAAACTTTTGGGTTAAAGCCCGCTAATGTGTCCGGCAACCAGAGAAAAGTTGCTCGATGTGTCCCATCTAAATGGAGGGTGCAATTCCTTGGCTCTATAAACAGAGCGTGCAGGAATGTCATCTGATTTGAGAATAGTGCTTAAGCAAGGATGTGAGTATTTGTGTCCCCTTTTCCGATTCTTGGAGGAAATGGGGTTGTTCTATTGTAAGTAATAATAGTTGTGTATACCTAGTTTGTGATGAGAGTGAATGTATTTATTGACGTGAATGTGTGAAGTGAGAGGGTCGATGGCGGGATATCGAGTAACTTATCGACCCTCAATTAGGCTAGTTGTGTAATATGTGTGAAGTGTTATCGCTGAATATCGAGTACTCCACTATCGTAATTGAATGACTGGTATGTTAATAAAGTGAATATATTTAAGAATAAACGGGCGTACGAATGTATTCGGGCCAACGTTTAAATTATCCCGCGAGAGTTTGAAACCGGGAGATGCTGCCCTCTACTAGAGGAGCCATGAGCTTTTTTTCGTGTGAGAGCGGCGGAAGAACAAGGGTCAGGCTTTTGAAAAACGCCAAACGATAGTCGATTCTAAGGTAAAAATTGTTTTATGCCCAGTCTTCCGTCGTTGAATTTTCGAGCACGTTTTCGTTTTGTTGATCGTAGTGGATTCTTGTCAAGACGAAACTTAAGGGATGTTAAAACGTCCGGTGTCTTCTATTCGTCGCTCGAGAGACTAGGTGAGGGTTTCGAATCCGGAATGTTCTATCGTTCCATACATTTTCCATTTATACCCCTTTCCAGTTTAGAGTGAGGATCGAATGCATGATATCAAAGAGGTGAGTATAATAAATTGCTATTTGTTGTCGAGAGTTTAACATTGAATTAAAGTGCACTTGAAGGGCCAGAAAAGAATGGGTTTGGAATTGGTTGCGTTGGGTGCTGAATTGACCTAGCTGTTGACAGCACCCCCCCCCTCTAAACAAAGGGTGATTGTTTACTGAATAGCAAAAACTGGAATTACCGGTAAACTACGAGAAACGAATAGGCTCAACTCGGTACATGTTTGTATGTTCGTATGTACATGTGCGGATTTGAGATGGACAAGTATAACGCACCACTCAATCTATTTAGTTTAATTAAATCCATTATCTTTCTACACTAGTTTTAGGTAATTAGAAGCTATAGAGGTCAAAATAAAAGTAAATAATGCTTTGTTTGCTTCCATTGTTTACTATTGGACTGATAAATCCAATTTGCGCAAAAAGTTACGTTATACCGTTTAATTCTGTTTCGCCTAAAAATCGCTATCCGTTAATATTTTTCCTTCATCCATTTCATTTGATATTATTATTGTAATTAAAGCTTTTTCCATGCTTTCAGTCAGGGATTTGAGTATGACAGTGACAGTGATGATACAGCCAGCGGAGTCGCCAGGAGAATGAGTGAAAATCACTCTACAACAGGAAGGGTTCTTCGGCGCTTCATAGCATCAGGACTGGATGTTACGATTTCTTCCATTACTGTAAGAAAGCTAAATGAAAATAACCTCAGAGCCCGACACCCGGCTCGAAGACCTCTTCTTACTACAGCACAGAAAATGGCCAGGCTTCAATCAGCATAGGAAAATTGGACGATTGGAGACGTGTTCTCTTTATAGATGAAGTGAGGGTTGGCCTCAAATCTTGATATGGGGGCTTATTTCATGTAGGGACGCTCAGGAGAATGGTACGCCCCATGCGGTAGGGATTCTCAAATATCATTCCACGGTGGGCCATTAAGGTTCATATTTCCTTGGACGCCCGGACGGAATTAGTTGTGCGAAGATCTCTAACGTCACAGAGGCAATCACAAGACATAACCGAAGAACATGTAGTGCCATTTGTCATGATAAATAAAAACATGAGTTCGTAAATTTGGCAATCTATTTTGCTTTATGAAAAATCGATTGGAAAAACATTTTTAAAACGCTTTTGCTGAATTTTCTTTTAATTATAATAATTAACCTAACAGACTACATAATACTATATCAAAATATTAGGGCGAACTTATCTTATATTATTTATTATTGCTTACTTCACATTGTTTCGATTGTTTCATCAAAGACGCAATATGAAAATAGATCTTTTATACCAACCTCGGGTAAGAATAGGTAGACGAGGATCTCTGAGGCGAAGTTGTCTTATCTGATGTGCATTTACAGCACTTGCTCCCCATCCCCTTTCATCTCACTTCAACACTCACTAGCTTACCCCCCCCTTTTGTGACGAGTTTACGAACTGTTCGGTCAGAATCTCGGCCACCGACTGGCAATAGGTATAAGGCCGAGGACGCAAATAAACGCAAAATCGGACGCCCTCCTACTTTCCAAATCGGGGCGTCGCAATTTCGTCATTAACTTTCAAATTTAATGAAAACTAAAGTCTCATGTAAATCATATATTTAATGATGTCAAAGAGTGCCATATAAAAAAAGATACCGAAAGAAGTACAGATAACCAACTGAATAGGATAACTATTTGTATATCTTGTTAAAAATAAGTTTCCAACAAAACCGATAATACAAATTAAATACTAATGAATATAGGAATACAAGGATAACTCGTCATTCAATTGAAAAGAAAAATATGTTTTTATTGGAAACAACGGAAAATATGTTGAAAATGAAAATACAAACATAATGTGTATGTGGATATTTTGAACAAATTTTATGAAGAGTGATACATGGAATCAATTTCAAGTAGCAACAGGCCAAAATCGCTAACTCGGAACTCTCGACTCAACCGAGGCTTCAATTTGGATAAATCGAAAAATACGTTATTTTTGACGAGTTTTTTTAGACTTTTAATATTTCATTAGTTTCATATAATGTTTGCGGATATTTTAACCAAATTTCATGAAGATTGATACAGGGAATCAATTTGAAGTATCAACAGCCCAATGTCGATAACTCGCAACCGAGGCTTCAATTTGTATAAATCGAAAAAAAAGTTATTTTTGACGAGTTTTTTTAGACTTTTGATATTTCCTTAGTTTCATATAATGTTTGCGGATATTTTGACCAAATTTCATGAAGATTGATACAGGGAATCAATTTGAAGTATCAAGAGGCCAATGTCGATAACTCGCAACCGAGGATTCAATTTGTATACATCGAAAAAAAAGTTATTTTTGACGAGTTTTTTTAGACTTTTGATATGTCCTTAGTTTCATATAATGTTTGCGGATATTTTGACCAAATTTCATGAAGATTGATACAGGGAATCAATTTGAAGTATCAAGAGGCCAATGTGGATATCTCGCAACCGAGGCTTCAATTTGTATACATCGAAAAATAAGTTATTCAACCTCACCTTTTGAATTTTCCAACCCTTTTTGCTATTTTTCATTTTTATTCAACCAATACCTTAAATGCATATTAATTAATTGATATTTAATAATTAAAATTAATAATTTAAGATATTATTTGGCCAAGCGGACCACGAAAACTAGTGACTTTAAAATGAGTAATCTTCTGTTTACTATTCTTCAATAAATCCGTTATTGAAAATGAGGATTATTTTCGGTTTGTATTTTCTATTTTGTTTACTACAACTAACAAGAATATATCGATTAATTTAATTAAAATTAATTGAGTAAGAATAAATTACAAATATACCCGTTCATTTTTGAGTATTTCACAGGCTTAAAATCAAAAGCAAAAATTTAATTTATGTTTAACAATTTTAAAAACTAATGCTGCGAGATTAGCGATAATAAATCCGCTTACAAAATCTAAATTATTGGAACCGTATAGAAATGAGAGATCAAATTTTAGGATTTCATTTTCTATGAAGGGCTTATTCTTTTACAATAAATATTTTATTTATAATAATTTTGGTACATGTAATTTCAATCCAACACACCTATTATATGGACTTAAAGTTTTACGAAATTCACTCTTATATATGCTTTTAAAACCGATTAAAATTATGAACCCAAAACATAGAAGGAGAAAGCTTACAGTACGCTTTATTTTGCGTCACTCGGCCAAGAAATCTTCATTGCTGTTAAACATCCCCGTTCTGTGCATTTGTTTCAAGCGACTAAACAGTGGTATAAAAAGTTACTTTAAAAAGATCAAAAGATTCATGTTTCTATCTAAGATCACAAACTAGAATCGAGCCGCTTGCCATTTTACATAAATGACAATGAGAGGAAATGAGTATTCTAGCACACTGACTAGAAGATAAGATTTTTAAAAACTTTTATCGGAAAAAACGGGCTTTTCCTCCCACAAAAATATTTACCCAATCCACTTTTACCTAAATTTACATTAATATTATTGTTTTCAGCGTTTTGTAGCTCTTTCTTTACTGTATTTTTACATTATTACCAAATAATCTAAACTATTCCAATAAAAAACAATAAACAATTAAATACATGTGATAATTTATTCACAAAAAAAGTTGCAACTAGTTTCAGAGATTACCATTCTCCTTCATCAGGCAGCTTACTTGTTATTATTAAAATTACATAATTAAAACATCTCGATGTTTTAAACGTTTTTTGAAATAAAATAGGTACTTTCCACTACACGTGGAAAATTTATTCTTGAACACTTTGTTACCCATTCTTTTTTTTTTATTAATTTATTTTACATTATTATTTTTTTATTGAAGGCAATTTTTTAGATACTTTTGCTTAAAAACTAAATAAATATTTCATACACTTAAAGACATAAACGGGACACTTATATTTATTCGTTCATTTTATAATAAAAAAAATATGAATGGCTAAAATATTAATAAGTGACTTAAAAATTAATGTTGTTTACCTTTGCAGTGTTACTTTCTTCTCCATTTACTCTTTAGACTAACACAACAGGAAATCAGCCCATTTAATCCTTTCCAAAGCCAATTTGTCACGTGCGATAATTGGTTTTTGAATTGTTTTCTTGGATGAAACAGTAAATTTGTGTCAAAAATAAATTACTAATTTTTTAAATTCATAGTTTTACATTGAGAAGATATCGCTCAGGCAAATGATTGTTTACATAACCAAGTACTGGGTATTCTACCCTCTACCGTCCACGATGGTCTACAGCGGTTTAGGTCCGTAGCAACTCCTGGTGAAAGTCGAAATTGAAGAGAAGGCAGAGGTCGATCGTGATGTACGATGACTAGAGACGATCGTTTTATTGTTCAAATCGCAATGGGGAACCGACATTTAAAGGCTTCCTTGACAATCAACTCCAAATGGTCTGTAAATTAAGGGTGAGCTTTAAAGCACTCACGGACGTCTTCGTTAGAACTCCCTACAGTCGAGACACACCGCATCAGAGGTTCTCTTCAACGTTTCACTCTTGCAAAGGCATCGAGTAAAAAGGGGTCTATTGGCAAATCTCGCTTGGACACTTGAACATGGGGCTGTTCCTTTTACAAATGAAGTTGGGTTGTGACTATCAGATGACCAGAACCGTATCTAGAGAAAGCGTGAGTAACAACCTTTTTAACCAATCAATATGGTATGGGGTCCTTCAACATCTTCAAACTGTTTAGCATACGGAAAGGATCTTTGACTGCACTAAGGTACATTTAGGATGTCTTCAACATACACACTACTTCCAACTGATCCTGTTGGAGAATGGGATTCCGATTCATATCACAATATCCTATGGTTTAGTAACTCGATGCAACAAGACTTAATAAACTGGGCAAGCCCAGAGGAGGTAATACGCGTTATTGAAAGCCAAACCAGCTATGAAATTGTTAGTTACATTTTTGGCATCACTATTAAAGAATTCCCGGTGTTTGGGTGAATTATTTTCAAACCATAAACGTAAAATACTATTTATTAAAACTCTTATCATTACCTTCGTTTTCATCAAACAAGGATGTTCTAATTAATATAACGATAATAATACATATAGTTAGGGGGCGTCGGTGGCTGCAACGGTTTAGGCGTTGACACGGCTCTCATCACTGTAAGGTAAAGGTCTCGGGTTCGAATCCTGCGGCTCTGCATTTCTGCATTCGTACAAATGAGCTTTCACGGAACCCTGAGGGTTTGTATGACCTCTGCTGTTGCGAACCATCGTAAAAAAACAAAAAAAACATATAGTTTGAAATAAACAGTAAACTACGAGTGTTTGCTATTTTTGTCTTTGAGTGTATATATAGAAAAGAGAACATTTTAGGCAAATTTTACACTTTTTGACAATTTTCAAGGAATACATAATCTTATTTCCAATTCCTGCAGTTCTTGGAATAAAAAATGTTACTGTTTGTAAAAATCGTGTAGTTTAGATAATAAATTTGGTTAACACTTACATATAGATTCTTTTTTATTAAAGTGATTTTTTATTGGTTTTTCATTGAGTATATAGTACGTATAAAAACGTTTTCATATTGCAAACTTTAAAATTGGTTATTTTCTGTGTACTTTTTTATTAATTTTTGTTTTATCCCACAATACCCCATCTTTTACTTGAAAACGTATTCACATAGCCCTGTACTTTCTTTTTTTTACAATATTGTTTTATGTTGTTCTTCTCTGGATTAAAAATATTGTTTCTCTACTGCAACTATTCGAACAAGAGCATGGAAATCTATATATAACCCCAGACTCTATTAGGTCAAAACTGTATGATGTAATGGATAAGATTTGTGTATTCAACTATAAATTTATATAATTAGTTTTTGTTTTGTTAATTGTTAACATTCTTTTATTATCCTTGGTCGTGTTAGTCAGAATAAAGAAACTATTGAAGCTTTTAAAATTTACATGACTCAATGACCCGCCGTTGATACCATTGTTTGTCTATTATATAAACTTAAATTTTTATTGTTTATCTTTTTGCTTTTGCCCGATTATCATTTCAATCCTATCCAAATTCAGAATAGGCTTAGAGAAATCGTGCTTTTATCTGATCATAGGCCGTCTACAGGCCGAAGATGGCAACCCCCCCCCCAAAAAAAAAAAAAAATAAAATGAACTCGATGACGTGTCTCCCAAAGGTACGTCAATTAAGTTCAACTTTAGGAGTCTTATCCTCTTTTGAATATTTTAAAACACATCTGTTCGCGTTTGATGTGATAAGCAGAGGCCAGACAGAAGAAGACGGCGGCTCCAAGGGGATCGTCGAGAAAAGATCTTGAGAACAGTCATTATTATTTTACAACCTCGGAATATTATTCAATGGAGAAAGCGTGTCTCGTAAAAAAATTCTATTATCAAGTGGCACCCTTCCTGGCATTTAGACTTCTCAACCCCCCTCTCCATTTAACATGGCAAGGAAAAACGTCGTTATTTTCT